TAATAAACGAACAATAACATATTGAGATATACATAAAAGTAATTATTATATAAATAATGAAGCAACCCGTTGATGTTCTTTGTTCACACATGGATAGAGAACATGGATTGTTTGTTGTTATCGGAATCTAAAGTTAAAAAGTAGATAAGAAAAAAGAAGTAGAATACGTAGTATGAGTTGTTTTAAGATGTATTGAAGACGATAACATACTGACGACGAGTAGGGGACGAAACTTTTAACTCAAAAATGTTAATAAGAACTTTGTATTGATAGCAGGACAAGTGGTCGTTATCGGCCGGATGCTTCATTAGCGCGTCTCCTATCCACTGCTATCAGCTCCAAGTCTGCGAGTGACGTGGGCTTGTCATACGTCATGCGAGGCGCTCGCTGGCGCATGGCGGAACGGCGCGCCGGCGGCGACGCAGCTCACCCACAAACAATACACAAACATGAGCATATTTCATTAAATCAATATAATAGCTATTTGTAAAATAGGCTATCCTGTCTTTTACCAACTATTATTGTTCTACCTTAGTCGCCTTTGTTAAAATAAATATTTATGTATATTTTGCAACGTGCAACCGTAGTGTGAGGTTACGTATACAGAGCAGGTGACGCGGACACCCAGCCGGATGGGGGCCGCGGTGCTAGTCTTGTTGTGAAACAGTAGTAGTTAAGCAACTTTTTAAATCCGGCAACCCCCCCCCCACACACACACACACACGCGCGCACACACACACGCACAAAAACGCCCTGCCCGAATCATTAGGACCGCGTTCCATGAAACAGACTGTCATACATACTAACATAACATTATTAAATATTTAAAACTGGCTTATATTTCAGTGCAAATAAATTTTGGAAACTATCAATAAGAAAATAATTTAAAGAATAGCGACGAATACCTACTGCTAATATTAATATTCTCAATTAGGTATTATTCTTCCGTAATCTAAATTTTCGTAATATATACCGACACGGCGTCTTCTGCAGACATTGCAGCTGTTTCATAAAAAGAAAATATTATTATTTGTCAGAAACATCTCGCCCTGTCTTGTTTTTTGTTATGCTCCCCTTAACTTCGAATAGCAGGTAAACATTCTTGTATTATGATATACCGTATACGATTTGTATTGTACTAGTTACTTCTCCGTAAGCTCAAAGTCACAGAACACACCTCTTTTTTGTGTTCTGCGCTAAAAGTTATCACATACGATTACTTATGTTTATACTAAATGTAAACTTAATCTAAGTTTGAAGAGTCATTAATAGCTAATAGAGTATCTAACTATGCTTCGTTATTTGTTTTGTGCTAAAAGTAGCAAACGGTCATAGTTTATTGTGTGACCAACAAAGCGAATAACGTAGTAAATGGTAGAACCTAACAGGTATCGTGTCCGCAATCAAGCGGGTCAACGCTCAATCGAGTGGCAGGCGAGGGACGCGTGAGTCAGCGTCACATGCGCCCGCGCAGGTGTGGCAAGGCCGCGCAAGGCTGCCTGCCTTTATGCGCTGTGGATGACGGAAGATACTCAGATTTATTATTAAAACTTGACATTTAAGGAGCAATGGTGTAATTTAGGCTTGTGCAGTACGAAGGCCGCCGGCACCGCTGGTCGGCATTCCTTGCCGAGCGGCGGCGACGCACGTGCCTGTGTTTGAATACAGATAGTTAGTGCGTGCACGCACACATGTCCAGTTGACCTCGGTGGCTACAACCGGCTCGTGCACTGACCGACGATGCCATTTTGCAAATATATACTCCGGGCAATTGATTATAAATTACAAATAGAATACTCCTTTCTTAGAACCTACGTGAGCTTCATACTGCACTTTCTTAGTGCACTTGTTTATGATCTTATTAAATTTAACACGTTGAGGGTATATTACTAAATGACTTGCGGAAATCTAACATATTCTGATACCCTGACGGGCAGCCATGTTTACCTTAGTAACTCTTTACTTTCATTATCAACAAATGAGGATGCCAAGCTCAAAATATTCGTGCGTAGAGCACAAAAAATACCTTTTCGTTAATAGATGATTCACTACGCCCGTGCATTAGTTAAGATAAAATGATTAGTAAACGAGATAATAGTGTTAGTTCCCCGATGATCGTGTTGAACATTCCCGATACAAATCGCAGAGAATGCAGCGATTAGTCGAAGATACGACTACGGACAGACAGTGTGTTCCTATTATCTAAATGAATTCTATCATATTCTTGTGTGCGTAGAGCAGCAAGCAAATTAAAACTGATGATAGTAAATTCACTATTTTTAAATCAATGTAACAATAGACAGAAGAGCTTTCCGTATACAGCATTTCTTTATTTTAATTAACTAGCGCTTTCACCATTCAGTCGGAATAATTCGCGAGAAGGTTTGATATAGATATCATTGTTCAAGTTTATTGAGTACCTATAGAAATTCATGCGCATTGGATGCCTCCTACTAAGGAGTCGCACGCGGCATTACTTCAATTGAATTAAGTGTGTTATTGTATTATCTTGATTTAAATTAATAGTTGTAAATCAATGAGAATTTGATCCAATGTCCACTGCGTACACGCGGCCAACAAGCTACGTACACATGGACAATAATTGCCAATTGACCGCCACGTTCCCGACCGCGTAGAACTACACAACGAACAATTACTTAGACGTCGACGATTGCTTTCCTTGCATTAAATCTGTCTACGAGACATGTTTAAAAAGTCTTAACGTAGAAAACGAGCACAAAAACAGGATCGGTGAAGCGATAAGTTCGGAATGTTGGTATTTTTTCTGATGTAGTGGTGAAGCCGCAGCAGGAGTGTAGCGGCCGCGGACGTGGTCACGCGCACCGCCGCGCCGCCCGCACCCCGCTCCCCCGCCCGCCTGCGTGCCGGGCCACCGCCGCATACACCCCGCCCGCACACCGCCCCGCCGCCCGCCTGCGTGCCGGCCATCGCCGCACGCTAGGGGTGGGTCCTCGACACTTCTTCGATCAACGAAACAAGACTTTTCATCGTTCACCGTAAACTAGTCTAAAAAACTGATTTTTTCGACTATAGTTTATATCGTAAACAGATTGAACAGAACAATCAATCCTGTCTACGCAACTAGTTTAGTTGACGCAGTTCATAGAACAGTTATCAGAATAAACAACGGTTCAGTACAATTTTGGACGGTGAAAATGAACTCTTCTTCATACTTTTTCCATTCTTATTATTTTTAAAGTTCAAAATTATTTATTAACAAATACCTAATCTACAAATTGAGATAGTTATTTGCCTTTATTAAACCAAATTATTTGAACTGATGACAACACAATCGAAAAAAATTAAAAAGTAGAATGCTACTTGTAAAATTTAACTTCGACCCACACCATCCGCATTAAAATCAAAACTGATTTGACATTTTAATTACAAAGTTCAAATTTGTATTTGTTCCAGCAGAGTAATGTACTAGCAACTCTATACCCTTACATTAAAATTTAGTTTTAATTTTTTTTTAACGTAATCGAGCGAGCGAGAATACAGTCGCCTCGCACACCGTTCGTGCGACGACGTTGGACTGGTCAAGCAACACTTCTAACTTACGTTCACGCATAAACCAGTATATCAGTAGACCGTAAACTAATCTATCAGTTCATACCGAATAAACTGTCTACTACACACAGTCCGCCCGCACGACGCGACCCGCACGCAGACGTGACCGAGACACCGAACTTTAATTTCACCTAAAGAAAAATTATAATTTTTCAATGAGAAAACAGTCGCCGCCGTACCTATAAATAAATAGTTCAGGCTCAACCTACGCTCTAGCAGTGTTATTATTAATAAACAAGGTTTAGCGTTGGAGTAAATTGACGCTGAGACTGCACTTGGACAAAATTCATATTATTATAGAGACTCAGTACAGGTTAACCTAGTCCGAGGTTCCGTAGAGGTCATATTTACTCCGAAAAAGGTAGCAGGTTCACTTGGTCTCTGTATAATATGAATTTAGACTAATACTAAAATTGAAATTTTTAACGTAAATTTACTCTGACACTAAACCTTGTTTATTAATAGCACTGTGCGACTGTCTTTATAAAATCAAAAAAAGCGTCCGAAGTAGTTAAAATCATCAACCATGACGATAGATTGTAAGAAACCATTATGTAATACGAATTCCTTTTGAGCGTTCCTATTCTTAAAACAAATCGGAACACTCGGGCAACGTCATGGAAACCGGTATTGTGACTCGTGAGATATTAGGAAACTTGACTGACATTCGTTATACAACATTAGGTGTGATTAGACGTGTCGCGCATTCGGCACGTACTTGCGCTTTCTACGGCGTTCGAGCGGTGGGGAGTTGCTCAATACCAGTACGCAGACGCACTGCATTCCATCGCAACTCCGGAGCGGCGTTAGCGCAGCAAGCAACGTTCGGTGCAAACGTACGCCATTAGTGTTATCAGCAAATTGTAATAGCTATTGTCTATTGTGATGGCAGCGAGCTAGTCCTCGTGAGAGGCGGGTGGAGAGGGAGGGTAGAGGGTTCAGAGTGCACCGCGGGCGGCGATAACTCTGCGCTTGCGACGCACAGTCCCTTTATCGGCGCATGCGTAATGAATGAGCCGTTTATTACATACTTAAGACATCTCTTATGCCAACGAAATAATTATCAGTAGAATAAAGAACACGATTTAAGTTTGGCGCGTAAGTGTCCTGAGTCAGTAATAACATCGATTTTATCGATATTTATACACATATTATGTGCAATTTATTTAAAATGCGTTTTATATAAGCATCACATGCTATAACACATTATGTTATCATACTGATAGCTTTTTTTATTATTATTATTTAATTTTAAAACGTAATATTTGTTAAGTGCATTCGGCGCCAACAAAAGATATAAACGCGCGTCAGACTGCCTCGCTGCCACCACCGCGTCGCCGCCACCAGTACCGCTTATGATCACGTCATTATGTACATTCCATTGAAGTGGTAGGTATAAAAGAAAAAGTCAAAAATATTTTCAAAGTATATTATTTTTTCAACAGCCAATTAAACGTTCGTCGAACGGGGCAAGAGTCCGTCCACCCGTGACACTCGTCGGGTCCATAGATTTAGATACAAACACATATCTCTATTTATATATTATTAACAATAACATTCATAATCATAATGCATATACAATATACGCGTCGACACTTCCATACGAAGGTACATCGTCGAGTCTCAGTCACTACACTGAGCCTCTGCACTGTCACAGTTCAAATACAAAAATAATACTGAACAATAAATACAGTTCTTAATTATTAAAGCTTTCAGCACACAGTCTCCATGGGTATTTTGGGTGGCGCGGGCGCGGGGGCTGGCGCGGGCGCGGGGGCGGGCGTGGACGCCGGGGCGGGGGTGGTGTGCGTGAGGGACTCGCCCACGGACGGCAGGTGCGTGGAGGAGTGCGTGGCGCGCGCGGGGTGCGCGGCGGAGGGGGGGCAGCACGCGCCCGCGCAGCGCCGCAGCGCCGCCAGCGCGTGCGGCTGGCAGCCCACCACCAGGAAGATGAACACGCCCTGCAGCGCGTTCAGCAAGTCCGTCGCGTACCACACGTACTCGGGCCCGCCCGCCGCCCACGATATCACGTCCGCGCCCCACGTCACACCCATCACTACCACCAGCTTCGCGCACACGCGTCCCAGGGCCGCCCTGTTGACGAACGAACAGCTTTTGAGGAGTAGTTTTCGAAGTTCTACTTCACTCACCCTATAGTTCCACTCGACCCTCTACTCTAGTGAGAGGTTATCCTCTTAAATCTACCGAAGTTTCCTAGGCCCTCGAAGTTTCCGGGGACCACGATTATACCGAAGAGAATTTAAACACTATATTTATATATGGTATAGCTAATAATACTACGACCAGCTCTTCTCGCGTCGAAAGACGAACGGCACTCACCTCTCTGAAGTGGACTTGACCTCGTCCCGGCGCCACAAGCCGCAGGTGAGCTGGCGCGTGGTTGAAATAAATAGCGCCAAGTTAATAAACAGCAACACGCCGACCGGTCCAAAAAAGTACACGAGAATCTCCATGTCGCCGTAGAACCAGCAGCGCTGCACGGCGAAGCGCGGGCGCAGGAAGGGCGCGGCGCCGGGGGGCAGCCGGTCCAGCAGGGCGGCCGCGCCGGCCAGCGCCAGGGGACCGCCCCACGCGTACAGCATGTACACGCGTAACCGCCACGCCTCCTGACCGCGCTCCAGGCTCGTTGGACGGAAATCCCTACGCAAACATACCAACTTATTCAACGATAATTCTAAGTCAGAAACGTGGTGGACTTTTAACCACATAACCCAGTGGATATATCGCAGCCAAGGTTAAATCAGCAGCTCAATTGGGCGGCTAGCCTTTTAATGGAATGACGCATTCAATTAATCGATCAGCCGACTATCTAAACGCACCAAACTAAAATACGACTGAAAAAGGTCAGCCAACTAATCTATTGTCAATTCATCGGTATTACTGTAATCGATCGGTAGGATTAGAAGTAAAACAAAACTAAGTAGAATTGATCGAATCATTTTGAATCAAGTGATAGAATCATGAATCTATAAAGGACCTACACCTTCAATCAAACAGTGATGCAACAATCAAAATATCTTCTATCTCTTTTGTTTACACACAATTGACTACCTTCATTTACCTCACTTTGTTTACGTACGTAACATGAACCAAATGGGACCAGCACCGGAATAACCACATCGGAGGCACGGGCCGACAATACGCCCGGATCGACAACTTTTTCCAATCGGGCCAGAAACTTGATATTGCGTCATATTTATCATACATTTTTAACTTTATTATATTATATGAATTTGGCTGCAGCCATTTGGAGGCCCCCCCGACTGGAGGCCCAGGGAATATTACCTACCCACCGCGACATAGGCATGAGTTCTTTTTTTTAATTAATAAAACTGGACATGTGCCAACAATAGGTATTTTACTCTGCTCGAAATAATACTTGTAACTGTTTATTTTAATTAGAAAAAAAAGCCATAAAACAAATATTTCGGCAAAATAAATACGTTTTCTTGTCTTAAAATGAAAAACAACCCCGTGAAAACGCTGTCGCTCATATTCACACAAAACAGATGCAAAGAGAAGATGATTAACCGAATTCAATAAAACAAAAACAGTGCCATCTAACTATCGATTACGAAATAAAAAGAACAGCACCACTTAGGAATTTGATTTATAATAATGTCACACAATGGCGGGTCGTGCGATTTTGAGCATCAAAATCAGAATCTGTATGTTTAATACGGTGTAAATTTTAGTTTTTGTGCAATTTCGTGGCTTATTTTTCATTACCGACCACTAGACTACTACTGCTTTAGACAATCGTCGTCTAGTAAATACTAATTTGTGCACGATCATTTATTTACCGAAAATTATTGACAAACTCCGTAATGATAACTGTAAACGCTGTATTGTCTTGCACCACGATAACGCAAGTTTTTGAAGGCGAAAGACGTACCACTTACGTGTCATCCAGCCTGACCAGTTCCGGTTTTCATCACCAGACGAGGCTGATGAAGAGTATGGACAACATACATCTGAGTTCATCATGGACGAGTGGCACAAATGTTTTCAAAATTGGTTAAATCGTATGAAAAAGTGCATTGACGCAAAGGGAGAATATTTAGAGAAACAATAAATTCATTTTTAACCATTTATGGTATTTTATGACTGATTCCGGAAAGTATTAGTGCATCCCACGTAGGATACGATAAATGGTATATACATTTCTTCTGCAGTCGTTCTATGCGGCGCATGATATCGTTGCATAAGACCAGTGATGTGCCGGTTCGTTAAAAATGTATATCCGCGGATACGGATACGGATATACTATATGTTTCAAGTTCCTCAAATTTTCACTGTGGTTGCTCATGTAATTTAATGTTTACACTTTATATTGTAGGTAGTACCTACTAGGTACGCAGTATTAATTTATTTCATTAGAATATATTTTTGGTTTTCTCATCATCTCATAGTTATAAAAGTGATCTTATAACTTATATTTTTTTTATTATATTGATCTCATTATAATTATAAAAAAGATTTAAATTTTGGTTTTCTCATTTTCTTATATTTATAAAAGTGATGTTATAACTTTCTATAATATTGATCTCATTATAAAGATAGTTGACCTTTGAGTTATGTTCTATTGGTATAGTAACTTACTACGATAAATGTTTGCAATATAAAGGTGCCAAATATGTGATTTTAAGAAATAATAAATACTTGAATTGAATTTTATAGTTTTTTAAATCTACCTAATCACCTATATATAGCATTTCATCCTATCAATTGAAAATTAATAAGTTAAAAGATCCGTAAATTATCCGCGAGTAAAGTAACGGATACGGATACGGATATGGATCTTTATTTTCCGTCGGATATCCGCGGATACGGATATTTTATTTTATTTATTTATAAAAGGCACAGCTACAGAAAACAAACCATACAATACAATATTACAAAATGTTATAGTTTAAAACTAAGTTTGTCCCCCGATTATAGCTACGCACAACACTTCAAGAATACAACTTATATTAGACAACACAGGCAATTATTATGAATTGATTTTAAGATCACACGTGCGCAAGAAAATGGGTAAGTTTTGGAAAAAAAAAAAAATATCCGGAACATCACTACATAAGACGACCACCTGACACGAGAACGTATTCTAGTTGACTACGAAAAATGACATGAACCTAAAAACCCTTATCTGATACATTACAAAACTTGCCTCTTTTGGTGATACATACATATACATATAATCAATATGCTCTCGAAAATCAAGTGTTTTTGTCCATCATAACACCGAGGTCACGCACGCTTATGTTATTGTTATGCGAGGTGTCATAATAATATCTTCGTCGCCAGAATTGATGCCCCGATGGTATCTACTTTGGGTCGCACTCATTCCACAACACTCTAATACACTCAGAGGCATTTCAAAGAGTAATTCTCACAACGTTGTGGATCATCTACCTCTACAGTGCACATCGAATGTGCTTCTCAACTATCGTCCTGTACGTCTGTATAAACATCCTACATTTCTCATTTCATTTTTAACCGACTTCAAAAGAGGTTCTCGATTCGACTGTATTTTTTTCTGTTTGTTACCTCGTAACTTTTTACTGGGTGGACCGAATTTGATGATTTTTTTTCTTTATTTGAAAGCTAGTGCTTGCCGCGTGGGCCCACTTTTTTTTAAAATTTGAAGTTGGTAAAATTTTTTTGCTTCTGAGATTTTTTCGTCTGCATTTCTTTCATTCCTTCACAATTCATCATTTATTGAACACACGATTACATCAACTATCCATACAATGTTATAAAGAGAAATGGTATGATTTTTTGTTGCTTTTTTATTGAATAGGCTCCGAAAGAACTGGATCGGTTTTAAATATTCTTTCACCCATAGTACAGTGCATATATAGTACAGTGCAGGCTACAGGCGGGTGACACAGCCTATAATTTATATGGATGAAGTAGCGGGTATAAAACCAGTATTTAACAAAAACTAGGTTTCATAATAGTAATAAAAACAATTTATACGAAACAGTAATGACATCATACATAACAAACTCAAAACAAACATTATTTAGATCAACAATAAGAGTATACTCAACCGGTGTGTTCCCAATAGAATAATTAGACTTGTACTATACATATCTACTATATGCAGAGATCTTCATAAAATATACAAAATAAATCCAACCTGTGTCGAGGCATAATGACTGTTATATATATTTTTTTCATAAGTGTTTTTTTACCGAACGATGAGATAATTTAACTTCTGAATATTGCTTTGGCTCTGGTTATAATGGCACCTTCGCTGTTTAAAATTTATATAACACAACAGCTTTGCTATTTACGTTTGGGTTTTAAGGAATCTATGTACCTAAAAATTTTTTTCAATTAACTATTACTAACTGACTCGGCGAAATTCGTACCTGGGGATTTTGTTTTTAATAAATTTTCTTATATGCAGCCCTTGTCCTGGATATAGATAAAGAACACATAAATAATAATCATCCAATTTAGTTATGCGCGTACACAGATTTCGGCGATTCGTTTACTCAATAGAAATCTTGATTCAAACTAGAAATAACAAATGGAATTTTTGTTGGTACTGACCACTAACTGAACAACATAATTAGCGCTATGACTCAAAATATCATTGTTGTGGCTGCCAACTATTAACTGGTCTTACATATTTATTAATTGGTGTACCTACTTGATAGGTAATTTAATGTTAATAATAAACCACATTTAGTTCATTGTTACATTAAATTACCTATCATGTAGATGTAAGAGTATTCTAATTTGATATAATTTTTAACTTTCCATTACAAATCTATAATAAAATAATAGCAAATTATTGGTCATCATCAACGGCCTATTAATATCTCCAAAGCTGGGGTGCCTATGGCTTTGCCTATAAATGGAATCAAATTAAATGAAATAAGATTCTTAAAAATAATATGACGAGTGCAAGGGTAATTTGATCGAGCGATGTTTATTTTTTATATTGCATTATAATGTATTGAAGCGTGACTCGTGAACAAAAGTGACTCGAACATTTATCGGTTTTCGCTATAAAAATAAACTTAATATATCTATCTATCTACTTGCACTTAGTGGTAACTTGGATATTGTTTTCAATAGATAATATTTGGGATGTTTGGATCCGATCAGGGTCACAGCCTGTTCAGACGCGTTACATGATGGGACGGGGGAGGGTTTGGTTTTGTTAGTCACATTTGTGAACTTTAAAAATATCAAAAAATTAAATTCATTACAAAGGTGTTTGAAACATTAAAGAAACTGACTTTAAAGGCGGGCAAGATAATCCTTGCCAATGTTAGGGTTAAACCACTTCTATGTAGGTGTGCATACTAAGGTATGGTAGAATTTATTCTTACGTGCGACAACAGGAAACTGTCTAAAATGAGATCCTAAACAAACCTATTTGATGTAGGTAGGTATAGTTAAAATGTATTATTTGATCGGTACTGAATTAAAATACTCACCGAAAAGTCCACCATATATTGAAGCACATGGTGTTGAGCCAAAAGAAGGCCGACAGAAACAGGAAATGCATACAAACAGCTGCACGACCGCACATGTAACAAACGACACACCGTTAGCGAACGATCACGTAGCACGAGGTCATCCAGCGAGAGTAATCCAGCTCACCCAGCACTCGGCACAGCGTCGGCGGCACCTGATCGCCCGCCAGCTGCGTAGCTGCTAGCAGCACGTCGCCCAGCATCAGCGCCGCCACATAGTGGGTCTGACATCGCCAGTGCAGCGCGTGGTGCGCCGCGGGCAGCGCGAAACCCGCCGCCAGCGTCGCCGCCAGGAACGCCGCCCCCACCGCCAGTCCGGCACCGTACAGCGCGTGCCTCAGGGCCTGCTTGGGCCGCGGCGCCCGCGCTGCCGCCTCGCACGCGAACACATGAGCTCTGCTCTCATCTGGCACGGCTTCCACGCACCACCCGCCGGGCGCCAATCGCTCGCCGCCCGTCAGCACTAGTGCACCGTTCACGTCCAGTTCGGCGCCCGCGAGGATGCCCGTTATAGAATAGCGGGATCCCTCCGCGCAGTCAGGCCACCCGATACCCACTAAACTGCCGTTCGCTAGAGATCGTAATTCCGCCAACGCCGACTTCGCCCTGTCTAAATCTTCCACACATCGTTCTCCGTCAAAAGCGCTTCTCTCGGGACAACATTTCAACGACGGCATGCGATAGTTCGCGCACATAAGGGCGATGCCATAATCTGCGCAATACCGATCCGACGGCAGCAGGAGGACCCCGCGAAGAAGCAGCGAGCCGTTGTTTCCGAGGAGGGCGTACGCCGCCGAGTGCTCGCGGACAGCTCGGAATTCATCGCACGCCGGTAAAGCTCCGTCGGTCAGGCGCCAGTGGGGTGGAATTTGACCACGCTTCAAGAAGCGGCCGCGGGACGGGGCGAAAACGAAAGGGGCCCACGCGGCGGGAACGGGCGCCGGGCGGCACGCTGCACGAGCGGCGTCGCGCGCTATCACCTCGGGCCGCAGAGCGTCGCGCTCCAGCTCCTGGCCGGAGGGGCAGCAGCGCGGCACAGCCGTGTCGTTCAGCCGCGCCGGGCCCGTCCCCATGCCGCCCGTCGCGCCCCACCACACGCTCCACCACAACACTACACTCAAGATCATCTTGCCGCTCACCGATCCCGAGAACGGAACATTTTAAACACCACACACTCTGTGGGCGTTTATAATTATTTTCTACGAGTTATTTAACCGCTGGAGTCTACGGACGAACCGACATTCACGGCCCTGTCGCTTATCGTAGACATATTCACTCGGTGCGTACGAAATATAAAACACGTGTGAAAGGGTCAGAAGCGCAACTGACGTAACCTTCCCCCACGACTGCCAGCGTAACACTGGCGTGCGTGAGTCGCGAAATGAGAACGAACGTACGATGGTATAGTGCGGCGCGAACAGCTGTTCGCCCCGCCGCCGCGCCGGCCACCGCCGACATCCGCGCGCGGTCGCGGATGGCAACGCGTACGCGGTGGGGAACAGTCATACTAGGGTTGCCAACCATACTTTATACTGTATAATAAGTCCTACTTTATTTTTGGTATTCACACTTTATTCATTTAAATACAATTATAATATGTGAAAATACTATATTTTCAACATTTACTAAGATGCGTTATACAAAACACTCTTAGGGGTAAATACTTACTTAACTACTCAAAGATACTTATAAGTTAAAACAGACTTAGATGGAAACTACTGAAATTACCATTGACACACTTATGCTTAACTGAGAACCAATATGTTATTATTTTATAAGTTTAAGTGATAATTGTCCAATAATTATACAAGAAATAAAAATTTTAAGTTATATGCTGAATATATTTAACAAAATAATTGGGAGAAAATGATATAATTATATTGGATGTCTATAATATTATGAATTATTTAAGAAAGAAATTAGAACAAAGAAAAACAGATAACTACTTTGGTAAAGAATCAAAAATTAGATTTAAAAAAAAATAAAAGTTATCACTCTGAATATTTAATACAGTCATCAGTCATTTTTCACTTTTTATTGCATGAGCTTAAATTATCCGACAAAATAGATTGATTTTATCGAAAATAACTAGCTTTCAGTATTCCCTAATATGTATTTGAAAAATAAGGATAAATTAGATAGGAGAAAATAAAGAATTTTCGGAGAAAAGTACAGTTGACAAATGGCAATATATAATTAAAAATGCATGTGATGACAGCTACCAAATGCAAATAAATCTTATTTACTCTCTATTCCCGCCACTTCAGCTTTCATTGAGAGAGTTTTTTAATTAATGAATCTGAAGTAGCGCGAAGAGAAAAATAGTGCGATGAATATAATTAATTAAAAATGAATTTTTTATTTATTTAAACATAAATATGGATTGTCAAACAAGCTTTCAATAATTTAAAAATAACATAGAATAATTATTGTTAGCATGTGCTAAAAGCACTCAAAAATACGTTTTTAAGCCATTAAAAACATACAATTCAAAAAAATTTTTTTTTACATTCAATTACTTTATTTTTTCCCTATTCAAACAAGCTTATACGTTATTTTTGACAAATAAAGTTGGCAACCCTAAGCCAGACAGAACCGCTCATTGCACACAAAAAAAAAATTGCAGCATTGCGCTTTAGAAATAATTATTTGTTTTATTCAATTGCTTCTTTACAAATACTTATCACATTACCTACTGTTCAATATTCCGAGTACCTATATCTATCTTAAGAGTTTCATTATCATTACATGTTTTAAAACCTCTTTGGTTATATATGAAACTTTGTTTTTTTAAATGTCAACTAGTGTTTTGTTTTTTTTCTCTTGTATGTAAAATATATGGCGAATAAAAACAGTAATACAATAAATAGGCAGTGGTTTTAATTTAATGTAGTGAACATATGGTCCTTGCGAGCCGGATAATTGTGAATACAGTGACTCAAACATGAAGTGTAATTAATAAACATAAAGATTTAGTGATATTACGTTATAAGAGGACTTTGAAAATTTACATTAGTTTCAAGATTTACAGTTGTTATTGAACACATAGATAAAACACATACAAGGATTTAAGCTGGGTGAATAAACAGTTTGAATACTTATTTTAAGTAGATTTTCGAAGATTATACTTACGTATGTACTATAAGATTATACATACTCACTATATTGATGAACGTTGAGTTATTCATTATATAATAGCGAATTTATTTATGCATTTAATTACAAAATGTCTACTTTGGAACTTCAAGAAGATCTTCATTCTCAATTGAACAGAGTATACACGAACTTTAAGAAAACATCAACATCTCGATATACGATAAGTTTTTTAGAAGCTAGAAAAGAAATTATAGAAGAATATTGGCAAAAATTTTCGACAGAGCACAGAGATGCATTAAAAAATAAAAGTATTACCAAAGAAGATAAAGAAAAAATTAGAGATATATATATTAAAACAGAAGAATTATATTTGGAGTTTAAAACCACGTTGAAAGAACACATTGCTTCTCAGAATAGTCAGTTAAATAATAATTCAACAAAAACTGTCTCAACAACTGTCACACCAACTAAACTACCAGCCATAAATCTTCCTACATTTACTGGAAACTATCGCGATTGGATTCACTTTAAAGATTTGTTTACCTCACTGATAGACAATGATGAAGGCTTAAGTGATATACAAAAACATCATTATCTGAGGTCAAGTTTGAAAGGAGAAGCAGAGCAACTTCTACATCACTTTGATATCACAGCGGTTAACTATCAGAAAGCATGGGATGCTTTAGTGAAAAGATACAGTAATAAAAGAATAATTGTTAACACCTTATTAAATCGTTTGCTTAATCAAAGAAAACTCACGAGTGAATGTCCAAATGGAATAAAAGATCTTCTAGACACCACCAATGAATGTCTTAACAGTCTAGGTAATTTGGATATAGACACAGTGAACTGGGATCCTTTTATTATTCATCTCGTTGTCTCGAAGTTAGATATAGAAACTCACAAATGTTGGGAACAATCACTCGGGGCATCCACAGAATTACCAACATACTCACAACTGACTTCATACCTTGAAGGGCGATTTAGAGCAATGGAAATGATACTAACAACACAGAAACGAGATAGAAAAGAGCCTTCACAACATACCTTGTATCTTCAACCTAAAACTAAGAATATTAAGTCATTTTCTACTGAAATAAATACGGAATGCACTAATTGTAAAAGAAATCACTACATCTGCCACTGCCCAGAATTTGCACAATTAGATATAGATCAACGTAAAGAATTTGTTAAAAATAACAACCTATGTTTCAACTGCTTAGTGAAAGGTCATTCCATCAAACACTGTAGACAAAATACGTCTTGTAGAATATGTAACCGTAAGCATCATACTCTACTGCATTGTGCAAGTGTGACAACGAAAACTATGTGCACAGAAGAGACGGACACAGAAAATGAAAATTTAATAGACTCACAACCACAAGAAGAAATAACCACTAGTTTCAAGGTCTCTGTAAGTGATAATCAAGTAGTACTTGCCACTGCACAAATCAATATCATGGATAAGAATGGTGATGCTGTATGTTTACGAGCTCTAGTGGATCAAGGTTCTCAGGCGACATTCATTACAGAATCTGTCGTTCAACTGCTTGGCTTAAAAAAGACTCCATTAGAAGCTAAAGTTACTGGTATAGGAAATAACACAATAAAAGCGCGACATATAGTACAGCTGAACATTCATTCTGCCACAGATTCGAAACATGTCATGTTGACTAATGCACATGTGCTCACGAAGCTAACACCATTACTACCTACTAAAACACTGGATATAACAAAATGGCCAGGTCTCTCTAAAATCAAATTAGCAGACCCTCACATGTATAGACCTGGACCTATTGATGTCTTACTGGGTGCTGAAGTGTATGCATCTATTTTACTTCAAGGATTACAGAAGCACGGTTCTCTTATTGCTCAAAACTCACAATTAGGATGGTTGATATCTGGAACAACAAAAAATCAAACTGAATCATCTACACCCCATATAACAGTTTCAACTACACTAATTGAAATAGATCAAATGCTACGAAAGTTTTGGGAAACTGAAGAGTATCAACCACAAAAGAAACCTATGACACAACAAGACTTACAATGTGAACAACACTATAAGGACACACATACGAGAAATAAAGATGGACGCTATATTGTTAAACTACCATTTCGAGACTCCCATGACACAAATTTAGGTGACACACGACAACTTGCTCGACACAGATTGCTACAAATGGAGAAAAGATTTGCACAAAAGCCTGAATTCCGACAAGATTACGTAGATTTCATTAATGAATATCAAAAACAAAACCACATGGAGGATGTAGACTCACAAAATATGCCAATTCACAAAGTCTATTATCTGCCTCACCACGCTGTAATTAGAGAATCCAGCACTACTACTAAGTTACGAGTGGTTTTCGATGGAACTGCCAAACCTCGAATTGGAAAAGCTCTTAATGATGAGTTGCTTGTCGGCCCAGCACTACAGCAAGATCTTCGAGATCTCATTATTCGTTGGCGTACACACAAGATATGTCTACTCGCTGATGTCAAACAGATGTATCGCCAAATCATGGTTTCTAAAGATGATGTGGACTACCAGCGCATTTTGTGGCGCGCTTCTCCGCACGATGACATCAAAGAAAAACGTCTACTCACTGTAACGTATGGTACCTCATGTGCTCCGTTTCTCGCTATTCGTACACTTAAACAACTAGCCCAAGATGAGAAACCACACTTTCCTGATTTAGTTATTAACATCATAAACAATGATTTTTATATGGATGATTTGCTAACCGGTGCGAACAGCGAGGAGGATGCAATAAATCTACATAAATTAATCACAGAAATTATGGCTAGAGGTAAATTTGAGATGCACAAATGGGCCTCTAACAGTCCAGTAGTTTTAGGTGAAATTCCAAAGTCAAATCAGAACACACAAAAAAATGTTAATATTATAATGGATGATACAATTAAGGCTTTAGGAGTTCGATGGAACTCTCGTGATGATGTATTTGAACTTAAATTAAATATTGCAGAACCAGTTACACCGTTTACCAAAACTACTGTACTGTCAGATATTGCGCGTGCCTTTGATCCGTTAGGATTTTTTGGGCCAGTAACAATTTGTGCCAAAATGTTTTTACAAAAGCTTTGGCTTAGTGGTGTGGGTTGGACTGATGAACTTCCAAGTGAACTCGAGAGCGAATGGGCTATTTTTAGAAATAAACTATTTTACATGGAAACTATTTATTTAGAGCGTTGGTTGCGAACAAATCTACACGGTTCAGAGAAGCTTGAGGTTCATGGGTTCAGCGATGCATC